TTTCCATGCTGTCTGGACCCACGCCTGACTTGCAGAATGCCATTCATCGCACTGCAAATTGCTCAACTGTTTTGATGATCCAAACCTCCTGCCTCGTACTCAGGCGTGTCGAAACCTTTTACGCCCCCTGAGCTAGAAGCAAGCTCCCAGGCATGGCTACCATAGATCTGACCTGATCTCGTGCTGTGCACCAAAAAACAGTGTCAAGGAAGAGAAGTTGCTGAAGACTGACACAAATTACATTGGGTACAATGCTCACACGCAACTAGACGACGAGTGGCCCGAAAGCATTTCACGTAGGAAGTCAGAGTGTGAGTTATCTGTTAAGTGTTCAGTGTGAAGTGTTTAAGTCGAGTGAGTTGAGGTAGTGTGTGGGTCGCTGTGTGTGTGTGTATCTATGTCCGTGTGTATATGAGTCTCTGTATGTGTGTGTGTCCGAGTAAGTTGAGGCAGTGCGTGGGTCTCTGTGTGTGATGTGTGTGTATGAGTCCCTGTCTGTGTGTGTGTGTCCATGTCTGCTGCTGGTGAAGGTCTTCACTGTAGATATAGTGAACGAAGTAGCGCGCAGGCCTCCCAAACCCCCCACCACCGGCCAAGCGGTGACAGCCCAGCTCATCGTCGTGAGCATTTCACCTCATCGTCGTGAGCAGTTGCGCACCGCGTCCTAGAGTTGTATTACAAAGTCGCCACTTCTCGTCTTCCAGCTCCCCAGATACTGAGTGTGCTAAGGTTGTACTACAGAGTCGCCAGTTCTCATCTGGCCGTCCCCAGATACTCCGCGTACTAAAGTTGTACTACCAAGTCACCAGTTCTCGTCTTCCAGCTCCCCAGATACTCCGCGTACTAAAGTTGTACTACAAAGTTGCCAGTTCTCATCTTCCAGCTCCCCAGATACTCCGCGTACTAAAATTGTACTAGCAAGTCGCCAGTTCTCATCTTCCAGCTCTCCAGATACTCTGCGTACTAAAGTTATACTACAAAGTCGCCAGTTCTCAGCTTCCAGCTCCACAGATTGCTCCG